ACAAAGTGAGACAAACCCAGTGTTAGAGTAGATCAGAGAAAGAATTCCCTGCATATTTCAGATTGAGATTCCGAAAATGGTCAGGGGGAAGCTTTGATGGCAATCTTATGCATGGTTATCAAAAGGGACACATTCCTCATGAAGATTTCAAAAGCATAGTGACAGCTGATCAGTACAAAGAAAAAATCTGTCTGTGACTATTTCGTAATTGCAGGCTGAATAGTGTGCACTCATACTACCAACATCTACTAAACAATTATAACACTGCTCCAAACAGGTGTCAGACAAATACATAAAAAAGGACTACATATCTCTTTAGAACAGACCATAATTGCTTTCATTATTTATATTTCCAAGAAGAAAGATCCAAAACACAAAATAAATATAATTCACAATAGAAGGTTAGGAAGAACTTAGAAGAAATATTTTAAGAAATGTTTTGAGAACTACATCAAATTTAAGTTTGAAAATATTCTGAATATTCTGAGCCTTTGTCTATACTGTTTCAATGATGCTTAGGGTACAGGAGTTTTGACTGTATGATTTTGTTGGGTTTTGTGTTTGTCATTTCCCTCTGAGATATGAGTCACCCCAGGGCTGGAAGCTTGATGGGCAACAGAGATGGTCTCCCGTGTGGGATGAGGTAAAGGCAGTTTAGGAGAAAAAAAAAATCCACTGTGTATAAATGAGGAGGAAGATGTCCGTAGGTGGGAGAAAAAGTGGTCCTGCAAAGACCCTAACAGGACCAGCTGATAATCTGACCGGCACTTCCACTGGTCACACCCAGGGCCATGCCTGGACAGCCTGGCAGGGGGCATTCTTCCCTGTGTTATTTTCTCAGATGCTTCGTACACAGCGAGACCTGTCAGACCCTGTCACTTAGTGCCCCTTTATGCGGCTGAGAATCAACATGTCTGTATACACACATGCTGGTGCTTCTGTGAACTACAGGAACAAAATTCTTGCCCATCTTCAAAACCTGCTATGGTGCCCCTAAAAGAGAGCTGGATAGGAAATGAGAGAAACATCTGTGACCTATGCAATTTGCTTAACTTTCTTGAGTGTAAGTTCGGTCAATTTAAAACTCAGTTTGAGGGCGGTGCCTATGGCTCAAGGAGTAGGGTGCTGGCCCCACATACCAGAGGTGGCAGGTTCAAACCTGGCCCCTGCCAAAAACCACAACAACAACAAAAATCTCAGTTCGAGGCTGAATATGGTGGCTCACGCCTGTACTCATCCCAGAGGTAGAGCAAGACCCCATCCCTACTAAATATAGGAAAACCAACTGGGCATTGTAGTGCAGGTCTGTAGTCTCAGCTACTCAGTAGGCTGAGGCAAGAGTTTGAGGTTTCTGTGAGCTGTGATGCCACATTACTCCACCCATGGTGACGGAGTGAGACTCTGTCTCAAAAACAACAACAAATCAATTCAGTTTAAAACTTGAGCTTAAGTAGTGAGAATGGATAATAACTTGCTCACAGTGATATTTTGAGGATTAAGATAATGCAGGTGAAAGCATTTCCAAGCCTGGAACTGTTAGCCTATATATAATATTATTTTGCATTATGTTTTCTAAAATAACCTACATTTAGATTGAAAGAAATAAAGCCCAGTGGATGTGCAGACTGGGATTACTTGAATTAAGGCTTTACTACTGTAGAGAATAGATTTGAGCAGGCTGTCAAAGCCTAATATATACTCAGTCTGTAGAAATCATGACAATGAAAGGAATACACAGCTCTAACTGAGCTTGCCGTCTGTGCCTGGTAATTGCTTATAGCTTATGGCTCTCATCTACAGGCATCTTCATAACAATGACAAGGCTGGCACTGTGTACCCATTGTACACATGAGACTCGTAGTGAGGTCGTGGAATTTCCAGCGTCACAGGACTCCCATCTGCAGACCTGAGCCAGAGCTTCTGCGTAACTCTGACCCCTTCCTCGCCTCCAGGCTGCCCTCACTGAATAAAATGAAGACTTGACTTGAATCAAATGTAAATAAAATTCTCTGAAAGGAAATAAGAGAGGAGGAAAAGAAATTAAAAATTTAGGAAACGGGAAGGAGAATGGAAAAAGAGGGCAGGGCAGGGTCAGATGGGCTGCGAGGGGAGACCAAGGTGGGAATGGAAAAGGGGAAAGAACGTCTTGCACAGTTTTAAGCAAATTAAGAAGATTCTTTGTTCTCGAGGACATTATAAAAAATATTAATCTTAGAGCTTCTCAGAAACTTTGACAAGGTTAAATCAAGCCCTTAATATTTACTTACATAGATATCATTTGATCAGATCTACGTTTTATGAAAATCTGGAAGCAGAGATGCTAAGTGGTTTTTATTTTAATTTTTAAAAAATTCTGTATTACACATTTCTCTTTGCAATATTAATCAAAATGTTACGGCTATGGAAAGTCTTCAGTGAAGCCTTCTGTGAGATGTGAGTGTGTCACCTGTATCCGATCGGCCAGCATCTTCCCCCGGAGGGCAGCATCCCCGCCTGGTGGCCAAGATGGCACAGAGCATGGTGCACACAGGGAGGTGACAGTAAGTGGCCGTCAGATACAGAAGACACAAACCTAAAACCCAGGTAGCAGCCAGCTCCTCTTTGACACCACACTAATGGGATGTGGTTACAATCACTGTAAATATCTAGGAAAAAATGATAAAAAGCCTGCCTTGAAAACAGAAACCATTCCAGAACGATTACACCAGGCATTTTTGTGTGTGAATAACCTCTTATTTTTGTATTTTTAGAAACATCTTGTTAAATTACCACTTGAAAGCAATCGATTTGCTTATAGGAAACTATTCCAACTCCACAGAGGGAAACATTTCAGCACCTTGATGAAAGGCTTGACCTAGTTTGGTCTTCTTTAATTAAATTAATAATTTGTATAGTACTGCTAAACCCAACACCGAATCAACAGGGTGAAAGCATATTAATAAAAATGCAGAATTAATTCACAAGTAAACATCAACTATAAGTCATTCAACATCTATAATTAGTTCAAAATCTTTTGAATGTTGGTAAATTTGAATAGTAGAAAATCAATTAACCTTAGAGTTTCCACACATTTCTACAATGAATTAAAAAAAAACTTCAAAACAATGCCAATTAAAATAAAAATTTTAAAGTATCTCTGATTTATCCAAGAACTCTAAAGAATAATATCAATATTCTAATTTTTACTTTTATAATAAATGAAAATTTAAGAAGCTGAACCCTATAGAGTTATAGTGATCAACAGTTAATAATACTTAATTCCTTTGATCACACACTTACCATGACAGAATTGAATGGTGCAAAATAATCCCTAATCAAGAAACTAATTATTAAAAAAAAAAATGTTCCTTCCTCCAAAATGAAACATATATATGAAATTGTTTTGGCAACGCTAAACTTTAACTGGCAATTGGAATATATCTTCATAACAAGGGAATGCACACCATAACAAATCGTAATTCAAAGTGGTTATCTGTGGAAACAATTAGGAAACAGAAATCACCTGCGGGTTCCTACTGTTGGAATACTCATAAATCTTTTCCTTAACACTCATTGCAAACTATTTTGAGTTTTAAATATCTGTAATTATAAAGTAATCCATTAAATTGCTGAATTTTGTGGACATAAGTGTTAAAATATATGAGGAAATGGAGGTATGTTAAAACAGGAGCAAATTAAAGTTATTTCCTCTAGTACAGGCTATTAATAATTATGGGACAGTCTTAAACAGCAGCTGCAAAGTGAAAATTATGTCAGACACTAAAGTATATGAATAACACGGATCAGAAACACTCGGAATGTGAATGGAAGATAACAGGACCCTTAAGAAATTAAGAAGTGTTTTGCTTTAAAATTTTCCTAACTTTTAACTAGCCTTTGCTATCACCTGAGCCAATTCCCCCCAAATTCTTATGTTGAAACCCACAAATTCAGTGTAACGTATTCAGAGATGATCTATAAGAATAGGTAATTTATATGTTACAGGAGGTCATAGGAGTGGGGCCTTGATTCCACAGTGTTAACAGAAAGACTCCAGAGAGCGAGC